TAAAGCGATCGTTATATTGAAATTAACTTCTCGGGCACACCTTTCAGAAAAAGGCAGCGCCAGAGTTTAGAGCGGTCGACTGAGTCGAAAGCCGCTTTCAGATCTAGGAAGACAGAGATGGTGGGTCTACGAAAAGTGTCTCCTCACCAAAATCAGAGAACCAAAAGCCAACATACGGGTGGATGAAACACCAGCGATCCAATCAGGGCAATGGGCTACAAACCCTGATTCCAGAATAACCAAGTAGAGGAGTATGAACCATACCCACACATTCCTGCTGTTGTAGTAGTCACTAATGGGATATGATAACGAAATCGTTTGTGCATCTTATATGTTTGATATCATTCCTAAGGTGTATGATTCAGCGAGCTGGGCACTGGCTTTCAATACACAGCGGTTTTGACACACACACACACACACACACACATGGTGTTTCACAAGTCAGACTTCAGCTAGCGAAGGCTCCGATGGTGAGGTAGCCGGAAAATTCACATGCTTTGGCCTAGATAACCTAGTAGTATTCCGCCCGAGGAAATCATGGGATTTTCAATTTGTAAAGATTATTGTACTGTGATTTATGGACACACGTGGTATCTCTCTCTCTCTCCATATATATATATATATAATGGAGAGGCAGGTATTCACGGGTAAATATGGGGCATTTGCATTCTACGATTATGATGACACCTTGGCTTCAAACGGGTTACGTTTCCTGCACAACTCCGGGTGATTATTGCCAAATATTATAGACTGAAAAATTTCCGAGTTTTCTCTGGAATCGATAGGAACATGTCATGGAACAGAAAAATCTCATTCCCTTGCCTCACCTTTCTACATCCCTGCTGCCTAGTTTATTACTAATATGTTGGCTCTAATTGTTTCACATGAAGTTAAACGGATGTTTTGCGAAGTGTACAATAAACGTGTCGCGAGTAAATGCAAAAGTGAAGGAGAAGGAATACAAATGAAGACAAAACTTTGATGTTGGTGATTACTCAACTTCGTGCAGTTAAGGTTATCTATTTGCATGGTGAGACTTTGTACTTCCGTTTGGCTAACGGCAACGTGGTGACAAAGCACTGAAAATGACTGCGGCACTGAATGATGCAGACATGGAGAGGCTAGGGGATAAACTCACGGGGTATTTGGGTGCGAGGATTGACTGGATCCGACGAAGCTCTTCAATAACCTCAGCAGAGCTCGAATTCGTCGGTAGCGTGAAACACAGGACAGTCGGGGAGCACAGATTGAGTGTAATCAGGCGATCACCCCAGAGCCAAACATCATCCAAATGAGGTACGATACAAGCCCCACGATCTGACGTATATTCCAGGTTGCACAACTCAACGGCGTCAAAGAATGAAGTGTTGCCGCTGATGATGGATTTGTTTGTTTCGATCCATTGGTTGATACGATCCAGAAGGAATTGACTGTATGGGGGTAGCCCAGTAAAGCGTTTGGGATTTACACGTTGACGTTTGAAGTTTACTTTGGGACCAAAGTCCTACAAACAAATAAATTCATTTGCTCAATAATGTGATGGATCGCTCATTACCAGAAACGCACCATTCCATCAGAGGAAGTGTTAAACTGTACCCTATTCCGGCCTTTGCCACTTCCCCTCACTCAACAATGCTAGTTGGCAGTAGCTTGCCATCAAGTTAACCGCAGATCCTGAAGCTTCACAAGCCTCTGAGTTTANTTTCAACGTGAAACTTTTGTGCAGATTGTCTAAATGACTGATTTAGCTAGTGCAACGTAACTGACATTTGCTGATTATCGAAGAAGTGAAATCAAGATCCTAGTTTCATACGCCACTTAAGCTCGCCATATCAGCATATGGGTTGACCAACTGCAGTCGCCATGAACCAACGACAAATTCTACGGGAACCTTATTCNCTTATTCGGTTGAGATGCAGGATGTGCTGACAGCTGATTTCAAAGTGCGACTTGAAAAAATCGGCGCATCAGGATTTTTTGAAAGGGTTGTTGAGCCCTACCTGCCAACGGACGGATAAGGGCGATCAACTACATCAGTTCTGCGCAGATCTTCCTTGGTTGTTCTTATTCCTCACCAAATTCTGAATCACAGGTTGAAGGATGGTAACCTGGCGTTCTATTATTTTTCAACTTCAAGCAAATACGTTACTTCAAGTGAATCCATCAATGGCATTGTACTGGGAACAAACCAGGCTTAGTGCTCCAACCATCACAACTCATCGATGGGATCGGATCCATCAAAACGCCATCCAGTCACACTAAGTTGGTTTCTCCATAAACGAACTGAAGCACTTTTTGAGTGAGTCACTCAGCAAGGATGAATGTGTCGGTGGGGTCAAATTTGTCTATTTTTATCCCCTTGCCCTCCCCAGGAACGTTAAGTTCTGGTCGAGTGAGCTTTAGACAAGAACGAACGAACCCGGCGGTAATTAACCTCGGTTGACCGGGTAAGGAAGCGAATCACGTTAGGATGGATCGACAAATCGATTACCATGTTCAGGCCTGAATGTTGGAATGAAACACTGCACGAGTGGGTTTAGCCTATGCCCTAAATACCTTAGTGAGAGAATTTCATTGTGGCCGAGGTTCCCCCGAACAAAATGCTGAAAAATGGTACTCGGATGCAATGAAATCAGAACTGCCGAATTCAAGGAGACTGGCTTTTGGGATATCGAATACTGCAAAACCCAAACCATCCATGTCGGCCGCTGTTGACGTTGCCGCCCAACATACACTTAGGGGACACAGTTTCAAGTTACTGATTCCAAAGTGTCGACTGGAATGTCGGCGTCGATCTTGGGCAGTCAGAGTGAGCAATACGTGGAACACTCTTCTACCTCACGTTGTTTGTGCGCCAACTGTTGAATCTTTCAAGCGGAGATTTGATGAAACCCCGGTATATCTCAAGCTCCTATACAAATAAAAACCCAAATAAGTTAAAGACTAAATTATTTGTTACCCCCTACATGGAAATGTGACATTTTCTGAATTTTTGGCGAAAAATGATTCAGTTGGTTAAATATTTTGTGGAGACAAGAGGAGCGTGAGTTCGTAAGTAATTCCCATGAGAAAACTTTGACTGTAGCCGTATTTCACGAAGTATCCTTTTCTATTTATTCATTTCTTATGCTGATGAAGTAGCACTATTTTACCCGAATTGTAAAACCAAGGAGGAACTCATTTACTAGCAACTAAAAGTGCCCGGGTTAAATAATACACTATACAAAATACCAATGACAACAACCTGACACCTACAGCTTCTCTCCCTCTCTCGGCGTTCCTCAGTTTATGGACGTGTGTTCTTATCTGTGTTGCATCAGTTCTCACCATGATCGCACTTTTCTCAGTTTGACTACATCCTTCTAGTCCTTATAGTCCAGTGAGTGATACTGGTGGGGATAAGAATAACAAACATATCCATAATCCTACACATGTACTGAGTACATTAATTTGCGATAAGCAAAGTATTCGACCCATGATTACCTTATTCTTGATCAGCGATTGTCTCCTACGTGAGGATATTGCCTTGACGGAAGAAGAATCCGAGGGATTTGATACAAGTACCGCTAGACTTTTGCCTCCTATCCTCCACTTAGAGACGCACCCGGTAACATTCAACTGCGACAATGATAGACTAATTCGGGTACCGGATAGGGTGGTCAACTCATCTGAAGAAACAAAGTGCATAAAACTTAGGTGGTATCCGTGTGGTGGTCACCTCGTCACACTGTGTTGCTCTTAAAAACAAAAAAAACGGGAAATAAAAAATAAAATAAACACAACGCTCCCGATTCTATTCTACAATAGAGTGGCTGGGGTAACATTATACCCAGTGATCTGTATGGTGTCCTTTAGGCTTTCATAAAGTCTGTATGAATAAAATTGACTTTTCACTCGAGTTTCATACAAAAAGATCACAGCGAAGACAATCCACAAAATGTTATTCCTGCTCATAGCAATCGCAAGAGAAAAATTGGACCCTAATGCACAAAACAGCTTGAAAATGTATG